TACAAATTATGAACAGCAAATACATATCTCTCAACAAGTGAATCTAAAAATCAAGTGAATAAATAATCTGATGAACAGAATGAACTGGTGAATATAATAGAATCAGGGGCATAGAAAGGGAGTGGACTGACTATTCTTGGTGGGGGGACAAGGAGTAAGGGAGATGCAGGAAGAGACTGGACAAAAATCATGTACCTATGGATGATGACAGTGGGTGGGGAGTGAGGGAGGAGGGTGGAGTGGGTACTGGGTGGAGGGGAGTTATAGGGGGTAAAAAGAGGAACAAATGTAATAATCTGAACAATAAAGATTTAATTAATAAAAAAATAGATTCTGGAGGAATAGAGTCTAACTTGGGTAATTGTGGGGTTTTATACAGAAGAATCAGATACCTGTTTTTGGTAATTTCTATATGTATACGTTAAAAATATACAGCTGTATGAAAGTCAACTGCAGCTTATACAGTGGCATTACTTTGGGACTTTTCAGCAGCAGATTTTACTTTCATGATCAAATGACAAATTTGTAATTAAGAAGGTTGTTTCTTACCCTGGCCAGTTGCCCAATGGTTAGAGTTTGGCCCATGGACCAAAGGGTTATGAGTTTGATTCCTGGTCAAGGGCATGTATGTACTTTGTTTGCAGGCTCCCTAGCCCCGGTAGGGGCACATGCATGTAGCAGCCAGTCAATGTGTCTCTCTCATATTGATGTTTCTCTCTGTCTCTCTCCTCCCTCCCTTCCACTCTCTCTAGAAATCAATGGAAAAATATCCTCGTGTGAGAATAAAAAATAAATAAAAATAATGTTTTGGTTTTTTAATATATTTTTATTGATTTCAGAGAGGAAGGGAGAGGGAGTGAGAGTTAGAAACTATCAATAATGAGAGAGAATCATTGATTAGCTGCCTCCTACACACCCCCCACGGGGGATTGAGCCCAAAAACCCAGGTATGTACCCTGACCAGGAATCAAACCGTGACCTCCTGGTTCATAGGTCGACACTCAACCACTGAGCCACGCCTGTTGGGCAAAGGTTGTTTTAACCTGCTTTTAAACTGGTAAGAATGGAAATAGGTTAAACGATGATGACTCACAATTAAATCATTTGTGTCAGTGGTCATGGACCAGAGGAGGCAACTTGGAAGCACTGAGCTGAATTTAATTTTTATCCATTTTAACCTGAAAAGTTCAATATATAGCAGAGATGTTAGTCACGATTTTTCAGAGGTAAGATTTCATTTAAATTGAGTGATATATCCTGAAATTTCTAAATGTGACAGTTTTAGTCCATTCATAAGCCTGTGTTCATTTTTTAAGATGAAGGTTCAGATAACATAAATCTAATAAGAACACATAGTCCTTACTATTTGAAATAGAGGGGCTAATATAATTAATCCCCACCGCCCAGCTTCAACCAGTTACCAATTCATGAATCTTATTTTATCAAATTCAGAGCTATAGTTTTACTGAACTTCATCAATTTTATATCTGTGTCTCCTTTCTCCCATGCTAAAAATTCTGGTCCTCAGTGACACTAATGTAATTACTCATTTACCAATACTACCAATAAAGTGCTGCTTTTTAAAAATACACTATATAGTTTTATTAATTTATATGTTCATAGTACTTTACAATTCAGAGGTTTTTTACTGCTATATCATCTTCATGTAAACTTTATGAGATAGGGTTTCCTTTTCTTTTTTCCATTTCATAAATGAAAAAACTAGTTATTTGGAAAAAATGTGACTTGTTCAAAGTCATATAATTAGGTTCTCTGAGTTAATCTGACATGTGTAGAAATCTTTACTCAACATGTTTTCTCCATTTTAGAATCCTAGAATCTGGAGCTGAGAAAAAGTGAATTTAATACAAATAGCAAGTTTTTATCTTGAGAGCCAGACCAATAGATCATTTGTAGCTGTTGGTCCTTGGTGTTTGTAGGCATGTTTCTACTTTATTGGGAAAGTTTGTCCTTACAGATTAACCTGACATGGGTATGGGCAACCTGTGGGTGGCATATATGTGGCAAGCAGGTTAAGAAAACTTGCTAAAGTGGTTCAGCCTGCTGTAATACCTGATGTACCTCTTTGAAAATTCTATTTTTTCTAAGATAAATTTGGCTAATTCTCAATAGATTACAGGATTCTGTGTATAACAGTTGGTAATTGAGTTTGATTACATGTTAACAGAGTGGCCTAAATAAATGTGAGTTTATTTTTCTCTCGTGAAATGAAAGGTGATCCAGCGCTGAAGGGTATCTCCAAAATGACATGGGACACCCAGCCTTCTCTATCCTTCTACCCCAGTGGTTCTCAACCTTCCTAATACCGCGACCCTTTAATACAGTTCCTCATGTTGTGGTGACCCTCAACCATAAAATTATTTTCCTTGCTACTTCAAAACTAATTTTGCTACTGTTATGAATCGTAATGTAAATATCTGATATGCAGGATGTATTTTCATTGTTACAAATTGAACATAATTAAAGCATAGTGATTAATCACAAAAACAATATGTAATTATATATGTTTTCCGATGGTCTTAGGCGACCCCTGTGAAAGGGTCTTTCGACCCAAAGGGGTTG